GTGGTGGAGGCTAGAGCTGGTTGAAAAAGTCCTTTCAGGCCAGGCCAAGTGTTCTCTGAAGTGAGGCTATCCCCCTGGAGGACCTAGGAGTAGTGTACTGAAGCTAGAGGTGCATCAGCAGTGTTCCTGTCACTGGAATGACAAGCAGTCCTGAGCTGGACATGGATAGCCCAAGACAAGCCAAAGTCCTCTGAGTGAGTACAAATGACCCTGGGAAGGAGATAAACTGTTAAAGAAAAGATGGCTGAAGGGAGAAGTCTTTTATGCTGCTTTTACATGTGACTGCTGTGGTTCGTCCACTATATGTAATTGATGAAGTACTGACCCTGGATAGTATGTCTATGTGATGTGACTGTAATTGCTATCTTCTGAAGTAACACAAGTAAAATGCAGCATTTAAACTTCTTTTGTGTGGATATTCCTTTCTTTGGAATATAAAGACTAATGGCCAGGGGTGCCGTGAGAAGGCCTCTGGCAAGTCGTTGGGCACAAGATGGCAGAGGTTTAAGGCTTCAAGCAGGTGGAGTGTTCTAACAAGAAGAAATGGGACTGGGACTTGTACTGTTTGCAGCCAATACTCAGCCATTCAGAAGCTCCCTGAAAGACACTTCAGTAAGTGAAAGGAAATCTCTCCAAACTGAAGGAAAACCTCTGTTGGACAGCTGTCAGTAGAACAAATGTCCACATTGGAAGATGTCCCTATACTCCGGTGATGTTGGGCAGGGGTCACCATAATAAATAACAAGGGTGAATCTCACCAGTAGATTTCACTGCATCTGGTATACACCTGATGTTCAGATATATTATCCTATCCTAACATACTCAGGAGCTTGAGGAAGCAGATATCTATAGGAACTTAAAAAAAAGCAGAACTTAAAGTAGAACTTCACTGCACCTGATCATCACAAACCAAACATGCTATTTATTTAATTGTTAATATTCAAAGCAAACACCATCATCCATGCATGTCTCCATGCTTTATTTTGCTGAGAATTCATTTTATAAAACACTCACTGGTATGTCTGCCAGTGGCCATCCTGAGTAAGGGCAGATGATTAATGTAGCATGTACTTCCTGGAATCCATCTGCCCTTAGCTCAGGCACTGGCTGAGCTGAGAACCCTCCCTCCCCTCCTGAAGACTCCTGGGATGTATGACATCATTTGCCTAGGCATGATAACCAGGAGGTAACTGAAGAAATGTGTAAAAAAAAGTTTAAAACAAGTAAATAAGATATACTTTCCTATCTATTTACTAATGCTAGCAGTGTAAAGATTGGCGGTTGGGCATTGGCGCTGAGCAGGGCTGGTGCGATACTATTTTGCACCCTAGGCAAGACCAGCTACTTGTGCCCCCCCCCTCAAAAAAACAGAAAATATTAAATCAATAAAACATGAAACTGCAACATTTCTTTTAATCTGCAAAAATAAGTGCTATAAGATGCCACCAGCACCAATATTTACCACCTTCCGCCCGCCATATAGTACAATGACGGGTGCAAGGTGGTTCTCTCGTTCTGATAGGATGTCATATGACGTCCTTCCTTTCTCACCGTGCATGCCCCGGCTCAGGGAGCGCGCAGCGCGGTGATCGCCGGTGCGCTGTGTCCCTCGGACACAGCGGATCACGGAAAGAGCCTAAGATGTCGGCTTGGTCATGTGATCAGCTGTGTCCAATCCAAGCTGATCACATGTAAACACGGAAATGCCGGTTATGGGCATTTCTCTCCTCTCGAGCTGTCACGCTGACAGCTCGAGAGGAGAGCCGGTAATCAGCTTTTCATGGAGGGGACATGTGCATGATCATCAAGGCACTGATGATCAGTGTGCCCTGATGATCAGTGTGGCCCCAGAAGTGCCACCTGTCAGTGTCCATCAGTGCCAGCAGTCAGTGCTCATCAGTACCACGTGCCAGTGCCCATCAGTGCCACATCAATGCCACATATCAGTGCATACCAGTGCACATCAATGCCACATATCAGTGCCCATCTGAGCTGCCTTTCAATGCCAGTCAGTGCCACCTATCAATGCCAATCAGTGCCACCTATCAGTGCTGCCAATCAGTGCGTATCAGTGCCGCCTATCAGTGCGAGTCAGTGCTGGCTAACTGCCAGTCAGTGCTGCCTAACAGTGCCAGTCAGTGCCGCCTATCAGTGCCAGTCAGTGGTGCCTATCAGTGCCGCCTATCAGTGCCATATATCAGTGTCATGTATCAGTGATGTCTTTCAGTGCCCATCAGTGATGCCTGTCAATGCCCATCAGTGCAACCTACCAGTGCCTCCCCATCAGTGCCCATCAGTGCCACCTATTAGTGTCCATCAGTGCAGCCTATCAGTGTCCATCAGTGCAGCCTATCAGTGCCCATCAGTGCAGCCTCATTAGCGCACATCAGTGAAGGAGAAAAATCACTTATTTACAAAATTGTATAACTAAAACTAAGAAAAAACTTTTTTTTTCAAAATTTTCAGTGGTTTTTGGTTTGTTTAAGAAAAAATAAAATCCCAGAGGTGATTAAATACCACCAAAATAAAGCTCTATCTGTCACAAAAAATTATAAAAATTCCATATGGGTACAGTGTTGCATGACCGCGCAATTGTCATTCAAAGTGTGACAGCGCTGAAAGCTGGAAATTGGCCTGGGCAGGAAGGGGGTATAAGTGCCCTGTAGGCAAGTGGTTAAAGACAAAATCAGTGTCACGGATGGGCTTTATCTGTGGCTGGCAGTGGCAGGGTGACAGTTGCAGTGAGTGGAGGATGATGGATCCACACTGACAGATCCCAGGCTGGGATTCCCCAGGTACTGGGGGGAGATAAAACGTTGTGACAGCAGGCAGCCCAACCCACACACACACACACACAGAACACCTGAACTGAGGATCCCACACAGTGACAGATCCGACACAACACAGCACCACCAACACTGACAGATCAGCAGGCACTAGAAGAGCAGGCTGTGGGATTGTCATGATGTCATCACTCACTGCAACATTGCACATGTGATGGATGGCTGGCCGGGTCACACTCAGGCATCAGAGTCAGACATTATCTTCCTCCACAGGCGCAGCTCCACCTATGCTGATGAATGGGAAGAGAAGGGCTGGAACTCCACAGTGATCAGCAGCCACCAGCTGGCTTGCAGTAAGGGACTGAGTCTGAGAGAATCGCTGGAAAGTGCGGCAGCTCAGCTGCTACATTAGCCCCAGCCCCTGTTCTTTCTTCCTCCACTCTGCCTCCCCTCTCCTCAGCTGAAGGTTCATTCATGACGTGATTCCCACACAGCGAGAGTGCCGGTCTGTGCTGCTCCCAGGCGCCCCTAGGTGGCAGTGCGCCCTAGGCGGCTGCCTAGTTTGCCTAGTGGAAGAATCAGCCCTGGCACCGAGGGGACACATATTTATGTACCCACTGTAAACAACAGATGTACCGAGAGCGCATGCCCTGCGCGCTTCAGGCACATTTACCGGTGCTTCATGTAAAGGTCGTGATCGCTACTTGCAGTTGGGAGCTTTCTGATCATGGGATCGCCGTGAAAGCCAACCACGGTGGTCACATGACCCTAAACCCCACTTCCCAGCATCACATACTGTGGCAGCACCCAAATATTGCAGAGTTCCCCTTTAAACTTTTCTAACAGCCTCTGTTCGCAAGGTCATCCACTCACTTGCCCTCTCCCTTATTTCCTGTGTAACAAAGTGTTCCAGTCTGCACCTGTGAAACCACAAGGTCATATTGTGCACTGTTTAGAAAGTCTCTTGAATGTATAGAAAGTGAAAGAGGAAATAAATGCATTGTGATGTAATTGCTATGTGTTCCCTGTGAGATGTTTTTCAAGGCACTTAGCTTGCACACACAAGTCCTTGCTAAGTCTCAAACAGCACTGGTTAATAAAAGGTATTTTTTCCTCAAGTTTGTGTCCGGAGTTTTTACCTGGTATTCCCAATTTTGCTACTACAATGGCTAGCGCCAAAGGGTTACACTTTTTAGACTATAAAGACGTGAAATTAAATTTTGAATAAGATGTACATCTAACTTGTCAGACTAGATCATGAACACATCCTGCTTGATTGCTATGCATAACACTAGTATTTCCATCCTTTTTAAATGAAATATGGTTGGTAATAACACTGACTATACAGCGGACTTGTGCACAAAAGCCGCTTTATGAGCATTGTCTCAAACATGAAACAGCTAGATAAAACCACCGGGGAAATAGCATAGCAAACTAATATAGACAACAGTAGAAGCTGAGAAAGGATCGTGTTCTTTTCTGTAAGCTATGGAGAAGAAAATGAATGCCACTGCCTCTGGAAATGCAGATAGCTGGAGATTATAACCTCTGAATGTACAAAAGCCAACCATAACATGGCTCAAGTTGGATAAACACTCAGCTGTTTCATTGTAATTGTGTACAAGAATTAGGAGCCAAGATAATGAACAGATAGAAAATATGTGGGCATGTGTTTTCACCATCTTCACTTTTCACCATGGGGGTTTAAAGCTGTAGCTGCTGACTTTTAAAATACAGACACTTACCTGTCCCTCGGTCCAGCGGTGTCCTCACCACAGCTGGTTTCTCCGGCCGTCTTCTCTCCCTGGCTCTGGCATCTTCAGTGTGGGCACCCAGCTGTGACAACTTGCGACTTCACAGCCGGGTGCCCACTGTGCATGTGCGAGAAGCGCTGCACTTTGTGAATGGCTCTGTCACATGTCCCAGAAGACTATGGGGAGGGAGGATATAACTTCCACTTCCGAATGCCGAGGCGATCGCAGTGGAAGTAGGAGCGGGTACCTGTCAAATTCGGGTACCCGCTCCCCAAAGGTGCCAATCCTTAATGGGGAGCGGGGGACAAAGGCTTAAAGCGGAACTTCCCCTTTTGAATGGAGCTCCGCTTTAACCTCCCTGGCAGTATTCCCGAGTGTAGCTCAGGGGTAAAGTTTCAGTACCACAAGCGGTAACCCCGAGCTACACTCGGTCTTCTCTTATCTTGTCCTGGTGCTCCCACGATGTCCCTCCTGCAGTGTCCCCTGTAATGTCCTCCGGCAGATGCCGGCATCTGTCATCTGTGTTCCGTCCCCTGCGAGCGTCGGGACGTACGGGGGACAGAACGGCGGGAAATTTGAAAATGCCAAAAAGTGACATTCACTAAAATCACGTAGTAAAACATTACTGTATCAAACCATTTCACATACATTTTGTCCCTAGTGCTTTGTCCTGTGCCCTGCCTGTGTTTTTACTGTTCTTTCTGCCTGGAAACTGAGAAACATCCATGGCGTCCAAAAAACGTCCCTTTAGGTCAAAAGCGGTTTTAGACCAGCTAGAGACCAGCGATAGTAAATCAGAACCACTTGCAGAATTGAGTGATAATGATTCGTGGGGAAATTCGTCATCAGACACTGAAAACGATTTTTCGACTTTGCTCAGTGATGTGCGAACTTGGCGCTATATTTCAAATTTCAGTCTTTTTGGTTTGATTATATTATTGAATTAAATTTATTATTATTATATTATTATTTTTTATGAATATTTATTAAATTATAATTTATGATTTCGTGTTTCAAATTTTATCATACCCGGGATGTTTACTAGACTCTTGTTCGGACAGATTTTAGTGGGTAATTCCTAAAAATTACGGGCCTACAATAAAAAAAAAAAACATATTTCCATGCAAAAAAATGTACCGCTTTGAGCACAGAAATATGGACATAATGAGACCGCTAGGGAGGTTAAGTAATACATGAATTCTCAGGCCCATTTAACCGTTTTATCAGCCTCCCAATGGCTTGCTCCCTCATGAATGTTCAGGAGAACCTGCTGTATGAGTACCTTAGACAGTACTACGTACAATAGGGTCCCAGGAATAATCAGGCAGCATGGTTCTGCAACAAATCATTTTCATTACACCCTCAGTCTATTCTATTGCCACAGTAGGTACATCCTAGCCACCCATCACCTTTGTCTTTGCCTTTTCTTGAAGGCATAGACACCACTGGCCTTCCAATCTGCCTCAGCGATGAGGTAGCAAATCTCTACATTTTCCAAGAATTTGTTTATTCCTCAGTGGGGACTAGGGTTGCCACCTCATCCCTTTAAAACCGAAACATAATGATACTAAACCCAGGACCCTGCATTCACTATATCTGGTCTCCCATAGTACACACAACATGGAAATGCAATTATTTTAGTAAATATAAACTGCTAAATACCTTTTCTCATCAGCAGTTAGAGCAGTCTTGTGACTTCAGTAGTTAAAGCTTGTAGGAGGAGCTTTCTTTCTGCTCTAGGAGGATGTGTAACCTTTGACCCTCTGTCCAGACAGTGCTGATTGGCCCTGTGGGGATCACACGCACCATCCCAAAGAAAAAAAACTCTAGCCATACACACTAAACTGAGCATGTGCAGAGTGCCTCCTAGGGCTCTGTGTTATCAGCCAATGGATTGGGGACAATAGAAGAAGGGGAGGATCAGAGAAGTCAGGATCAAGCAGCCCTTTTACACAATGCAGAAGATTAACCCCTTAGGTTTCACAGTGAGTATAACAAGCATGCTTTACTGCATATACAGACTGATTTTACTGTTGTGGGTTTAGTATTACTTTAATTACCACCTTAGTCAGCCTCAGAACCTGTGTAATTAATATTTGTTCAGTTTTAAAGGGATGAAGTGGCAACCCTAGTGGGGACGTTCCAGTAGTTGGCCACAAAAGGCAACCTTTTGTATTTTGCCAGGCCTGTTATTAACGACTTCCAGACCGCTTTCTCGCCCACAATTGTACTGAGGTCAAGCAGCCCATGCAGGCACAGCGATGTACTGGTATGTCGCTGCCTGCTTCCGGGTGCGTGCATGCACGCCCCCCCACCACTGACACCCGCTGTGATTGTACATAGAGGGAGTCTGTCAGCAGGTCCCAGCCAATGCTGGTCAGCTGTGTGCAATCACAGCCCAGAGCCCCTGAATTGAAAATCAGGATGAGAAACAAAGAGATATTTTAGTAAAAGCAGCACATAATGCACACATTACACATTGTTAGTTAACCCCTTGATTGCCCTTGATGTTATCCCCTTCCCAGCCAGTGTCATTGGTACAGTGAAAGTGTATAGTATTATAACTGATCAATGTATTAGTGTCACTGGAGATGTCAGTGGCAGTTAGTCAGTATTCCTCAACATCAGTTAGTGCCAGATTGCCCACTGCACTATCGCAGTCACATTATAAGTCACTGATCACCGCCATTAGCAGTATAACAATAAAATAAACAAATAAATTAAAATTCCAATATATATCTCATAGTTTGTAGATGCTATAACGTTCACACAAACCAATCAATATACACTTATTGGGATTTTTTTTTTTTTAACCAAAGACATGTAGCAGAATACATACTAGCCTAAATTTCACATGCACCCTCCCAAGAAAACAAAAACCTGTCTAGCAATGCACACCAAACTGAGCATCTACAGCTTGCCCAAGGCTCTTTTCTATCAGCAGATGGATGGGGGACAGTAGAAGGGGAGGATCAGATAAGACAGGATCAAACATCCTTGTTATACAATGCGGAGAATTAAACCCTTAGGCTCCACAGTGAATATAACAAGCTTGCTTTACTGCATATACAAACTGATTTTACTGTTGTAGGTTTAGTAACACTTTAACTGTTTACCAAATCAGTTAAAGTGACACTAGATAATATCTAGAGAATATCCTTATTCTCCAAAAATAATCCATACATTTCCACTACTTAACAACTGTACAGCAGTTCAATTACTGCTGGGGGCGGCTTTTCCAGGGACTGTGACCCGTACATCATGGTGCTTATGCATTTTGAAAGCCCCCTGGTGGACACAGTGGATCACAGTGGTCATGTAATCGCTATGACCAATCATAGCGATCACATTAAAACATGTAAGCACAACTGTCACAAACGTGGTTTTTGTTCATAACAGCTTGCTTACTATTGTGATACTGCGATTCGCCCATCGCTATCACATGGTACCTGAGCCAATCACAGCACCCTGTTGCAATGTGATAGCAGATCACAACAGTAAAGAATTAGTCATGAATGAAAGCAATGTAATTTAGTAATAACTAATAATTTAGAGTATCTCAGAGGTTATTTTCTCACATAACGTGGCCATGATAGCTGTGGGCCAATCACAACAGTAAAGATCCAGCTGGCAATTGATGGATACCGTATTTTTCGCTCATGACGCACCTGAACGCACCCTAGCAATTCCTGCAGACATAGTAGGAGATGACCAGAGACTGCGGACAGTACAGGGAAGAGACTGCGGACAGTACAGGGATGACCAGAGACTGCGGACAGTACAGGGATGACCAGTGCGGATACAGATGACATGCTGACCTTTGGGGAGGGAGGGGGAGCGGGTACCTGAATTTGACAGGTACCCGCTCTTACTTCCGCAGAGTTTTTTTTTTTATAGTTCCTCGATCCAATCTTCCCGGCTTCTGTAGTGTGGGCGCACCGTCGGACAGCCGGATGCCCAGTGCGCATGCGCGAGAAAGCGCTGCACTTTGTGATTGGTCCGGCGGCTTCTGGGATCTGTCATGTGTCCCAGGTACCGCCTTACCATTCACAAAGAGCACTCTGTTCAAATGATTGCTGTTACAGTGATCATCATTTAACAAGTCCCAGTGTATAGACAAAATTCTTGAAATTGTAAAAGTCAAAGACAAACTATTCTGATGACAGTATGTATAAAAACAAATTGTAAAAAAAGAAGCAAATTTTAAAAGAAAAAAAACAGTGTGTTTAACCGCTTCCTGCCCACCGTATAGGAAAATGATGGATAGGCGGGAACTTGTTCTGAGAGGATGTCATATGACGTCCTCCCACTCTAGCGTCTTGATCGGTGATGCGCTGTGTCCCTTGACACAGCGGATCACCCATTGCAGTAAAGAGCCAATGATGTAGGCTCTACCATGTGATCAGCTGTGTCCAATCACCCTACACCCACCAAGACCCCCCTCCTCGGCCCTGCTGCACTTATCTCTTTGGGTTATTCAGTTTCACCATCCATGCAGCCTGGTGCAGCAGTCCAGGGGTTTGAAAACCAAGTTCTTCTTCTTTCCCAAGGGATGCTAGGACAGATCAGAACAGTTCTGACTGGTCAGCACGATCATGTGTAAACTGTTAAGGGCTCAGTAACACGGGCAGAAAAGGTTTAGTTGCATAAAGCACAAAGTTTTGTACTCATATAAATGAGGCACTATAGTAATCAATGAGCCCATATATGCAGCTGACTCTACACGTGAATACGTGTGCCATGTTTATCCATGCACAAAAAAAGTACAACACAGCTGCATTCACAGCCGCATAGATCTGCAGATTTCACCCGCTTATGTGCATAAGAGCATGTAAACAAGGGTAAACATACGCACTCATACATGCATAAGCCATTAGAAGAGTGGTATGTGTCTAAACACAGATACATTTGCTAGTTCTGCCAGCAAGAACCTGCTTTCTCTGCAGAGAATATGCATTAGGATCTAATTAATAGAGAGGAGGGCTGAGTAGCAGCCTGGGTGCAATAGTCAGGAGGTCAAATTTGGGTCAGGAGCTGAGAGGCTCTGCAGGCCAGCCTCTCTGCAATTTCCCCAAGCTCTAGAGCTTTGGAGAAAGGCCTAGAGGCAGTGGGTGGATCTGAGGAGTGGCTGGCCTGAACACTTGAAGGATCCTGGCCAATCCCCAACAGGAGGCTTGAAAAGGGGCTGGGAAAACCTTTAAGAGTTTCTGAGCTTGCTAAGCTGCAGAGGAGAATTTGGGTGGAAGACAGAGAGGAAGATGTGAGGCTGGAGACAGGAACCTTGGAGGGGGTCCATATGGAGATAGGGGCTCACCTACAGGCTGTAGAGTTGGAAAGGAAGAAAGTTTCAATGGCTCCCAGAGTGAGGACTACCTGTGCAGCAGGGAAGGATTGGACCAGCTAAAAGGCCTGGTAGCAGCCACCAACCCATCAGCGGTACAGGAGAGGATCTGGGAGGATAGGGGAGGGTGCATTCTTGGTGGGAAACCAGATTCGCCACCTACCTGGGGACTGTCCATTTTTTAAAAGTGACAGGAACCAGATCTGCTATTCAGGGATACCTCCAGATTGCTGGGTGATAGAAGAGGAGTTCATCTAGGG